CAGGCGGGGAGGAGCTGGCAGCACAGCTCAGAAGAGACAAGTGTCCAAGTGGCCCCTGGGAGTGCGGGAGGGGCGGGGTGGAGGCAGGTGCTCCCTGCCCTGTGGGTGGGGCTGGAGCCCCTGTGGTGGTGCCTCCTGGAATAGAACAGGGGTCACCCACCCAGGGGAGGGCGGCCAAGAGCTGTAGCTGTCACTGCCCAGCCTGGTCCTGCTCTCACCTGTGACAGGGTCGGCTGCAGGGCCTCTGGCTCTGACACTCGGTGGCTGGAGGTGATGAGATCACCCGTCACCCGTCCCTGTGGTGAAAGCAGGGACCTGAGGGTTTCAGGCGCTGAGCAGCCCATGCCGCCATGCTGTTTGGGTCCCTGGCTATGGGTGGCAGGCAAAGGCGGACCCTGCTTAGGGATTTGAGGACCCCCACGAGCCTCACACGGCCCAGCCTCAGAGCCGCCTCTGTCCATAACTGTGGGCTGGACCCGTGTGTGCCAAGCCCTGTGCCGTGTGCTGAGAAAAACCCAGAACAGGCTGGGATTCTGATAGACTTCAAATGTCCCGTCTGCGGATAGTTTACATAGGATGACTTCCTAATTCACACTTTTAATGTGCGGGTTTAAGGTGCAAAGAGCTACATGCTGACGTTGAGGAAATAATTGTCAGGGGTTAAATAAATAAAAAATTCTCGTACTTGTATTGGGGGTTTTGTGGCTTTCCCAGTAGCCACAACAAACACTATGTGGATGCCAGACGCTCCACCTCGTGTGTGTGTGTGTCTGTCTGTCTGCCTGAGAGTTTCCTCTGAGACCTGGAATCTCTGCATCCCAGCAGCTGGGTCTGTCCGTGCTGGGGGCAGAGAGCCTGTTCCAGGAGAGCCACAGTACTGACCATGAAGGAGAGGCCCCAGGCCCAGAGGACCAGGGAGGCTTTGGAGCTAGACCTGGAGGACGGGTGGGCTCGGGGTGTGTCGGCAGAGGCGGCTGGGGAGCTGGCCAGGAGCAGCAGGGGCCATGTCCCCTCCCTGTCCTTTCTCTGTCATGGCTAATGCTGGTCCCTTGCCCCTACAGGCCGTCCCCAGTGCTGCTGAGCTGCGGCATCCCCTTCGACGTGGCCAGGAACGCGCTACGGCTCAGTGTGGGCCGCAGCACCACCCGGGCGGAGGTGGACCTCGTGGTGCAGGACCTGAAGCAGGCCGTGGGCTGGCTGGAGGGCCAGGCCCGGAGCTGAGGCCGCCCCCAGGGAGCCTCCGAGGACCCAGCCAGGGTGGCTTTTCTTACGGAGTCTGTGTGGGCAGCGGTCCCCTCCCCTGTGTGCGGGTCAGCGGGAAGCGGGTCCACCGGGCCCACGGCATAGGATGCAGCCAGCCACGTGGACCTGTCACTGTCACTGCTGCCCAAGCACACGATGAAGTGGGAACACCTTGGCTGAGACCACACCCCTCCTTAGAAGGGAGCCTGTGGTGAGCACCCCCTTCATGGAAGGTGGCATTTTATCAGGAAAACAAAGCCCTAGTATTTATAATTGATTGTTGTGAAAATAGGAAACCTGGTGTTTGCTGCCTTCATGGCCTCTCTGTGCGTGTTAGCAGCGTGGTCAGTCTCCCCTTGGGGCCCTTTTCAATCCCTTTCCAGACGGCCAGGCCCTGCCCTGCTCGTGTCCCCTGATTCCTGCTCCCCCCCCCCCAA